AGAAGATGTTACGTTTCAATAAATAAACATACTTGTTTCACAACGTAAACCTGTAAATCCAGATGGACACATGCATTGATATCCACCATTTCCATTTATAGGTCGACATGTTCCTCCATTCATGCAAGGATTAGGTTGACATGCATCACGAATTTCACATCGACTTCCTGAATATCCTGATGGACAAACACAACGAAAACCACCATTATCTCGTATACAATTGCCTTGATTCATGCAAGGTTGAGAAGCACAAGGATCACCTTATATAAGCCGAAGATATAAAAAAAAACATGCAACATAGAAATAATTGAAAATCTTACGATCTTCACATCTTTGACCACTAAATCCTGGTGGACATTGACAAGTAAATCCACCAAATCCATTTGGTATACAAGCTCCACCATTCAAACAAGGATTTGGAATACAAACATCTCCTAAAGTAATAAATCATCCTTTTTAATTAACACTTTCTCAATATACAGTCAGAAACAAAAGTTTAAACAAATTTATATTTTTCCACATTCTCATGGGTTTATTTTTTCAAATGTTTTTTTTTCACATTATTATAGCATAAGGACCTGATTAAAATAGTGATTGAGATAGTATGAGATGCGAGCTCCCTGATGCACTAAAATAGAAAGAGAACAAATAGATCAGTCGATAGAGAATTTCACACTCTATCTGTTTCTAAAAAAAGGTTTTCTTTCCAGAATTAGTCTTCGTTTCAAAAACTTGATTTTAGCGAGAGTAGCGGAAAAAATACAATCGATTCTTACGAATTCTCTCTTATCGCAATTTATTACACGTCATTGGAAAGAGCATTCAAAACAGATCAAAATGACGTATTTGAAGTTCTAATGTCACTGTTTTTCCACGTCCACCTAGTTTTTAAAAAAAGTGTCGGGAAACATCGTTAACTTTTCTTTTGTAATTATTTTTGACGAAAGAAGCAATCCATTTTTTTTTCTCGCTATTTTCGCTAAAATCAAGTTCTTGAAGTGAAGACTAATTCTGGAAAGAAAACCTTTTTTAGAAACAGATAGAATATGAAATTCTCTATCGACTGATCAATTTGTTTTTTATTTTATGATAAATCTCTTGGTTAGGAAATGTAAAATACTGGAACGTACTTTAATTGATTTATGCAGGAGAAAATTATTATCATTATGTAAAATCTATTTTGATAGACGCAATCCCTTTCTATTTTAGTGCATCATGTAGTAGAAATTCGCTTACATTTTTGCCCCTAACTGTATTTTTTTTCTCTTAAATTCTACAATGATGATCTCATTTACTTACTTGTTTCACAACATATACCCGTAAAACCAGCTGGACATGTACATTGAAATCCACCATTTCCATTTATAGGTCGACATGTGCCTCCATTCAGACAAGGATTAGGTTGACATGCATCACGAATTTCACATCGACTTCCTGAATATCCTGATGGACAAACACAACGAAAACCACCATTATCTCGTATACAATTGCCTTGATTCATACAAGGTTGAGAAGCACAAGGATCACCTTATATAAACAGAAGAGAGATTAAACATTTAACATAGAAATATTTGAAAAACTTACGATCTTCACATCTTTGACCACTAAATCCTGGTGGACATTGACAAGTAAATCCTCCAAATCCATTTGGCACACAAGCACCTCCATTCAAACAAGGATTATCAGCACAAGGATCACCTAACATTATTCATATCGAGAAACATTAATTTCAATAATTCTCATGAACACTTACGTGTTTCACAACGTTGTCCAGTATATCCAGTCAAACATGAACAAAAAAAAGAAGTTCCACTTGCTGTGCAGATACCATTATTTTGGCATGGATTCGGTGAGCATGGATCTATGCCTATTTATATGAATAATAAATGACAAAAAAAACTACGGTATTTTTTTTTGTGTATAACTTACGAGTTTCACAACAAGTGCCTTGATAACCAACAGGACATAAGCATATGAAACTTCCTGTATTAGTTGGTTGGCATGTACCGCCATTTCTGCAGGGATTAGGTGAACATGCATTAGATGGAGGAACAGTTACTGTACTGCCTAGAATTGATTCACACTTGTATCATATTTAAAAATAATAGTTATTGAATTACTTACCAATATCACATGTACGACCTGTATATCCTGGTGGACAAGTACAACGAAAATATCCAGTTGCTTCATCAAAAAGGCACGTGCCGCCATTTTGACAGGGATTTGGTATGCAAGCGTCACCTAGTATATAAATAACATATGTCAATACATAACCTACAAGTAAATAATCTTTGTAGGATTTAAATACTTACATATCTGACAAGTAAGTCCTTGAAATCCTGATCGACATTGACATGTAAAACTAAGTAAGCCTTGTGATTGGCATGTGCCGCCGTTCATGCATGGATTTGGAATACATATATCTCCTATATGATTAAAAAAAAAACAGTAACAACATTGATTGAAATACATATCAAATTATATCTTTTTTTTATAAATTTCAAATACAAAAATTTATGTTCTATTTTTTTTTCTTTCTCTTCATGAACTTACTTGTTTCACAATTTAATCCATTATAACCATATGGACATTCACAAATATAACCTCCAAGACCCGTCATACATCGACCCCCATTCTTACACGAACAGCCGATATTAAAGGCTACATGAGATAAGAAAAAAAAAATCCTACTCATATTCTTATAATACTAAAATAATTTCATACAATAAGTGCAATCATCTTGCCATGGTGGACATATACAACTAAATCCATCTTTTGTATCGAGACACATTGTACCCCATGGACATGGTTCATTTGAACAATCATCATAACCTAATTTTAAAAAATAGAAATTTTCAATTCTGTTAAACTTTTTGTATGGTCTTTTTTCCATACCACGAATAGATGTAAAATCACCGGAATTACATAAATCAGTTGAACACATACACCAATATTGACCATTGTATGTAAGACAACCATCGACAAGCAAATCACGTACCCATCGTTCATCAGTACAACGACGATCAGTGACTTCAAAAAAAAAATAAATAAATAAACGAATGTTTGAAAATTTTTTCATTCATTATTACGTGTAGCATTAGCATGAGAAGCTTTTAAATAACATCTTTGATTATAATGACAAGGTACAATACATCGACTATGAATGCTTGTGTCAGAAATTATTGGACATGCAAAACATCGTTTATCTTCTTCAATAATTGAAATAGCCGATCGACCGCTAGCTAATGATGAATCATCTAAAATAGATATATATTTATTCATTTTTTATTTCTGAATCCGGAAATAGTAGATTACATACTTGATGTTTTACGATGTTTTGAAGTAAAATTAGTTGGATTAGCAAGTGTAAATGAAATAATATAAATAGTGAATAATGATAACCAATGAACGATCTAAAGAAGAAAAATAAATTTTCTTTTGTGTCTTAAGAAAATATTCAATGATAATGAATTATTATTACTTACCATATTTTGACAATATACAATGTCATCAGCAAAAAAAAAAGGAATTTAATAAATTAACGTATATTCTCTTTTTTTTTTGTTATATTCTCTGCTTACGTATATATATATTTGCAACAGATTGCTATTTACTCCTCAGTCTATCCTTATGTGTTGTTTGCTTCAAAGTTGAAGGTATATTCTCTTCTTTGTTCTTATTTCGACTTTTTTCTTTTTTTCTGTACATAAACATTCAACATGAGTATAAAAAAAACCTTGATCAATATGCTATTCTTTGTCTTCTTTCTATTGTAATTTCAATTTTACAAAGGACATTTTGAGGGACATAGGATTAAAACTGTATTATCATTTCACTTCTAGTTCATGATAACAAAAAAGAGTCAGATATCAAAACTATTTGAAAATAGATTTAAATAATCAGTTGATAGGGAAGCCAACTATATGCCTTAATTACATAGCCTTCATCCTCAAATCTTTGGATGTCATATGTTAACTACATATAACATCAAAAACTAACATTTCTCAGATACAATATTCATCAAAAAGATTTTTTTTTTCAAAAAAAAAAAGAAACGAAGCAACACAACATCTTTCAAAATATATTCATTTGGTAAGAAATAATTAGACTAATATTAATTTAATACAAATCTTTCTATGAAATTACAATATGAATTAGATCAATATATAATATCTACAATCTATTTAGAACACTTACCATTCTTCACAATAATTGTACAGCAAAGTATCGATAGTGGTCAAATATCTTATAGTTCAATAGTAATATGATCAATTGCATAAAATTGTAGTATAGTACTATTTATTTTTCTTTTTTCTTTTTTCTTTTTTCTTTTTTTTCTTTTCGGTTTTACACAATGTCATATGTTGAATTGAACAATGAGAGAAGAAGAAGGACTAAAACATGATCATCACCATTGTCATGTTGCCTTGTAAAAAAACAAGGAATTAGTGAATGTATGATGATACGCCATCGCCACTACATATAATGATAGTCATGAATAAAAGTAATTTAGTAGTGACTGTTATAGATAGGTAAGAGAGGTGTAGAAAATGAGGGCGAACAGATTACTTAACGAAGAGAGGACAGACAAAGAAAAGTGGTAGTAATAAAAGTGATGATCAGAAAGGGATTAGAAGGTATACAAAAAAAAAATAAAATCATGTTCTCACGTAATTTCTTTTTTTTAATCATTTGCAAATGAACTCAGATTTCTACTATAGCCCTTGTAAATGTTCATTGATCAAAATTATGCAATAGAGTAACAGAGAGAGAGAGAGAGAGAGAGAGAGAAAGAGAATAGGACAAGATATTAGAATATGTACATATTTGATTGAGCTCAATTTTAAAACATTTAAAATTCATCTTGTTAGATACATCAATTAAACAATAATACACAAGGTCTTTATTAATTATTGATTATTTTCCTTTTCAAAGAATTTTCTGTAGCATATTTTGCTACATACACTTCATATGTCAATTATTTTCCGTTCGATTTCATTATCGTCAAATTCATAATAATTGATAAGCAGAATAAGAGAACGAAAGAAACAAAAAAAGAAAAAAACAATAGCAATCTCATATTGACATAACGATGATAAATCTCATTATCATTTTAATACATTAATTCTTTTTCTATAGCTCTTTGAATAATTTGATTTTGTTAAAAAAAATAACAACAAGTATATGCAAATCATTGAGGTGCTAACAACTATTCGTCATAAGATAAAATGTTACAATATATATATGTAACAAAAAAAAAATATCCATTCCAAACAATGTGTAGTATATGTATAAAAAGTTTTAATTCAATCGAACATACGAGACCGGAGAAACGGAAACGTTCCTGTACTTTTTTGTTTTTTCATGAAAAAATTGTTTTGAGAAAAATGTGATTCGCTATTTCCGTTACGTAATTGTTTAACGCTGAAAGACAATTTTTGGATACTACTTCAGAGGTTATAGAAAACCAAAAATTTTCGATCACAATAGAAGAAGGGAGGTATCCCTACCTAACCCGTCAAAAATTGACCTTGAACCAAGTACATTCAAATCGTATGAAATTTTCATGATATGTTGAGGCTATTGTAAAATTTTCAGCCCTATATTATGATATTTTTTGGAAGATATTCAACAAACAAAGATCATATGGCAATGGAAAAATTCTCATTGAATTTGAAAGAGTATGTCAGACTGCAATACCTGGCAGTGTACTTTTTTTATACAAAGAAAAAGGATGACAAGTTCAATTTCTTGAAAAACTCTTAAAAAATGCTCATCTATTTATAGAAGTACTTTTCTTTTTATAATAATAAAAATGCTTAATTCAAAAAACCGATCTCCGCTGAGCACTCCTAGCTTTGCACATACGCTCTTTCCTTCAAGTAAGAAGGAAAGCAATTGACTGCAATGATTTTCCTTCGAGAATTCTACGATACGCGATCAACAGAGAAAATCCGAAAAAAATAGCATATTTTTCTTGCAGAAGTCGTTGCCAATGTCTGTAATGAGAGGAGTCGCAAAACTTCGAATCAAAAATATATATATGAGTTCCACAAAATCATGTCGTTAATGAAATATCAGACCTTGAGCTGTCCTCCCATGTTTTTTTTTTTAGGAGGAATTGGAAGTCTTCTAGACTCTCTCTCTTTCGAAGTAATAAAAGTTTTGGGTTAAGATACAAATATTTCTTGAAAACTTTTCTGTTGTCTTTGTATTTTAATAGAGTCTCAAGAAAGATTTCTTTGGATGTATCTGTGAAGTTCTATGGAAATATAGAAAATAATTAAAAACAATATAGACATATATTTTTGTTACTCATTACACATTCAACCATGTCATTTTGATTGGTTAGACTTTTGTAATAAGAGAAAGAAAAACAAAAAAGAAAAAAAAAAGATAATGGGTTATTATTTTACGTATATGAAAACAAAAGTAAAACAGATGTTTTATCATAAAGGAAGACTTAAATACGTTCGACAATATCATTTAATGTTTTGTCAAAAGTTTGTGCAGTTGATTGATATTCATGTGAATGATGAGGGTGTTTAACAGCTAATAAAGGTGAATGCGATTTAACAGCAATACGTGATACAATATTGGATTCATTATTAATATGCATAACATATTGACTCATAAATTCTTCAAATGTTTCAATTTGTATAAGATTATTTGTATGATTATTAAATGAACTTGTAAAATGTTGATCATTAGATGATGTTGATGATGATGATAAACGTGGTGATAGTTTTTGATTTGAATGAATTTCAAATGCATCACGATGTTTTGTATATATATCATAAACAAAATGCCAACAATTATTAATTTCTTCAGGTTTTGGTAATGAATTATTATTTATACCTAATTTTGTTTCTTTATTAATTGATGATGCTGTACATAAAATTAAATGTATTTTAGGTAATTTAACGCCATTTTCATCGGCACGATAATAAAAACTATAGTGACGATAATAAGAATATATACTGGACGGTTGAGAAAATCCATAGAGAAGACTAAAAAAGAAAAAAAAAAAAGAGATTTCTATAATTTATTTTTAGAATTTTTTTCTACCTAAATAAATATTCAAAACCATTTCGATGTAAATGATCTTCACTAACAGGTAAAATAATTTTATCAGCAGCTGTTAATGCTATTTCAGTTGATATATTAAATGATGAATTTGTATCAATAAATGTCATTAATTTAATTCCACGTCGTTCACCTATTTTATGTATAAATACACGTAAACTTTGTGTTATTGTACGCCATGCATTTGTATATGGAGTTATTGTATTTGAACTTCGTTTTAAATCCATTGCTTTACCTAATAATTCAAGAGATGTATCACCACATAAAAGATAAACCTATTTCAAGAAGAAGAAGATTTTCTTAGAAATAAATAATTTATTTTCTAACTTACATTACGAGGTAATTGATTGTTAAATTTTGATACATTAAATAAAAATGTACGTGGATCAACATTATTTGGTAAACCAACTGATGTATATAAATCAAGATAACCAGATATTGTACGTGGGATAAATTGTTGACCATCAAGTATCATAGGATTCTTTTTAAGTGAACCAATTTGTGAAACATAATCATGACCTTCTTCATCATCGCCTGAAAAATCAAAACAATTCTTATGATTAATATATATATATATAAGCAATTTAGATACCCTGAAAAAATTAACGTTAGAGACCTTTGTTCAATGAAGTTATCAATAAAAAAACTAGCGTTAGCGACTTGACACGAAGAAAAAGGACATCTAGAAAATCGGTTTTTGAAAGAAAGGGTTTTTGGAGTTCGATCTGGCTGAAAATTCCACTATAGATGCAGTTCATTCTATAGAATCTATTCTGAAGTTCTCGGATTTTTTTTCTCATACGGTTAGAGACATATTCGCTGATTACTTTAATTAATAGTTAGTTGAAAGAGTCAACATTTTTACATATGTCTATGTCAAAGAAAAAACTTATTTCGAAAAATAATTCTTGTAAAGAATCACGATTGAATGAAAGGTGAATATGTTCCATTTTGTCTGAAATGGCTCATATATTAAAGTTATAAAAATAAATTAAAGGAGACAATTAATTCAAAAATGTGGTCAAGTACTATAACTATTCGACAATTGAGCAAATTTTTTTGTCATGATTAAATAGAGCTCATCGAGTTAGTTAGAGACATATTGGATTTGACATCTTTAGACGATGTTGTCAGGAAAATTACATTAATAAAAATTAGAAAAGCCTAACAGAATTGAAATACTCCAAAAGCGTTGAGAAAATTAATTTTTTCAATATGATAAATATTAAAAAAAAAGCCGTAAATACCAGTTTGCATTCTGAGATTTTGATCGTCAGAACTTCAGTTTGAAATGAAACGAATATCATATTTAGAATCAGTACAAAAATCTGCATCGAATAGGATACTCAATACTAAGTTTTGACCCTAGAAGAAGCACAGATCCGAGTGTTCGACAATAATATCAAGAATGTAAGGATCGAAATTTGACTTTCAATATTGAATATATTATTCAATGCAGATTTTTGTGTTGATTCTGAATATGATATTCGTTTTATTTGGAATTGAAGTTCTGATGATCAAAATCTTAAAATACAAACTCATATCAACAAAATCGATTTTCTTAACAATATGTATCAAAAAGCAAGCATAATTTTTTGTCCCAATTATATGACGAGTAAAATAAAAAAAAAGAAATATTGAGATTACCAAGACTAATATGTCAAAAACAATATTTCTATAAGTATCTTGAATAGTTCTATCCAACCATGATATAAAAAACCTAAGATTGTTTTACTCAAATTACGAATTGTTAGCTCCGTTTATTCTCTATTGAAGCATTCAGACTATTCAAATGTTTTCATGTGTATTTTTTCGAATAGAATTTGAAACAACATCGTCAAATAAGTTTCCTGAAAAAACCACTGTCAGGCGAGTTATTTGGCACAGTAAAGAACTTGCACAACAGTTCTTTTGAGTCAAAATTATAGAAAAATACTTTCCTTTAATTTACTAATTGATTTTAATCCGCATGAACTGTATATTAGACTTAATTAAATCAAAGTTTTGATGAATCTTTAACGAAGCTCCGTAAAACACGAATAATAAAAGGCACAAACAAAAAAAACCTATTCACTCAAATTATAGAGTTTTTTTATGGATCGCAAAATGATGTCTACAGTATGTTTGTTTTTATGTTTATAATCAAAACAATAATAATGATGCAAAATTCTTAAAAAAAAATCCAATTAAAAGCTTGAAAATAGATTTTTAACACTGTTGATTGGATATCTTTTTACACTTGGAATTTTCCCGAAAATTTTGAATGAGTATTTTTTGAAAAGAAAAACATTTAGCAAATAACAACATGATTATAATTCAGGTCAACATAACTCCTAGATGTTAATGAGTTGAAACTTAACAAATCATTTTAATTTTTTTGCCTTTGAATTGCATGTAATCTGTTGATAATTTTGAATATGACAGAAACCTTTTCTTTAGGATATTTCACTTACATCCTTATTCATTAACTAAATATAATTAATTTTGAAAATATCAAAATATGAATGAAATTATAATTTGTTTTATATGTATATATATATATGAACTAAACAAAAGCAAGTTGATATTGATAGAGATCTATTTATGGCGTAAAATATTGCGTCGAATAAAAAAATCAAATAGAACTTATTCATCACGTATAAAATATAACAACAGTACGGAGAAATTTCTCATTAACAACATTTTTTTCTTTCTTCCTTGTGGATATTTTTTCTGCATTAACAAGAAATGTTTGGTTTTTCAAGAAAATTTATTGAGATCTTTATTATTTAGAAGTAGACAAATGTCGAAACACCTATGTATATTGTAGAATATTCTCATTTGTGTTTTTTGTTATTTTTTTTTTAAACTTACCAAGAAAAGCATGGCTTAAATCAGCTTGTGGACACATATCAACAACAAGAACTGTTTTATCTGGATGTCTATATGCATATTTAATAGCCAAATGATATGTTAAATTGGTTTTACCAGAACCCCCACGATTATTCCATATTGCATAGCTTCCCTCCAATGGCATTTTCTAAATATATATTTATAAAAAATATAATTATTTTTCGTGTCAAAATCAAAACACATAAGTTTAAGAGTCAAATAATTGAATGAATAAAAAAAAATTTATTTTTTCATAGTCTATGAAATTATTTCTCATATATGTCAATGAATCGAAACAAAATAAATACATCATTAATCTCTATAATTATCATCATAGAACGATGACTATTATTTAAATTGATTAAATAAATATTTATTTTTACATTAAAAAAAAAAACAGATAAAAGCAAACCTTGCTCCTTGGTGATAAAATAGGGGTAGTGACTATTGAAGAAGCCATTTAGTTTTATTGATATTATAATAGATGATGAGATTATAATTGTTGTCTGTCGAAAATTTGTCGTTAGATGTTTTTGATGAAAATAATGACAAGTAATAGCAACAGTTGTCTTAATTAACTATTTGTACTATAATAAATGATCGATACTGTGCACAGCGTTAACAATAACATGAAGAAAAGTTTAGTATCTCGCTTTCCATTTTCTTTAACGATTGTAAAAAAAAAAGAAAAGCTAAATAACGACTATGTTTTCAGCAATAAAAAAGAAGAAAGAAGAAAAGAAAAGAAAAGAAAAGAAAAATCAGTCGATGCGGTTGATTGTCTTTCTTTTGCTATTCTATTTTGTCATATCGTTGAAAGCAACAAAATAGAAAAAAAAACTGAAGCTAGTCTTTTTTTTTCATCTGTTCTTTTCTAATGATCCGTCATTCTGTGACATATTTGTTTATGGATGTTATCTGATTTTTTTTAATGGTAGACAACTCTTATAGATTCATATATTTTATACTTAAAAAAAGAAATCACTAGAGTTCGATAGCTTTCATTCTTAGAAATTCTATTAAGAATATCATTACTTGTCTATATTTGTATAAATTTCTCTTTTGGTTTAGAACAATGAATTCAATATGTAGAGAAATAGATATATTTCCTATTCAACTTCCGTTGTTTTTTTTCTTATCTTTTCATAAGAAACATAGACGAAGACAACCTTAATTTATCGTTTGTTGTTTCGTTTACTTAAACACTCATTCATATCCCTCAAGTACTTTGCAATTAGTGAGATTAATAATAGAACAAAAAAAAAAAAAATAAGAAGGAGAGATCATCAATGTATAAAATGCTAGCTGTAACACTATTTTGTTTTTTAATCAAAAAAAAAGAAAACCTATTCATTGTGTTTTCTTAACCGCAGACTGATTATCATTTACAATCAATTTCAACACTTTTTTTTTTCCTTCCATCATCATCATTATCATTCGTACAGAATAATTTAATTAATTATATCTTTTAATTAGATAGAGATCTAAAATGTATTCACTCTTGATGTATACGATAGTCAGAGTGACAAAATTCGTTATTTTTACAGAGAATATAAGGCTCAAATAAGCAAACTTGTGAACTAAGCATAGTATACAATTATGCTAATGATAGTTGACGACTTCCGGACAAGGTTGAACGCATTTTTTTTCTCCTTACTAATCGAAATGATAATACTAAAGAATAAGAAGAAAAAAATGATAGGGAATGTGTCGAATATTGATATAAAGAAAAGGTCTATAAATATAATTCATTCGATATATATATACATATCTATAAAATAAAATTAATGATGACATAATAAAATAGTTCAATGCCATGATTAACTAATATATGCATGGTAGGAAATGAAACATGTTGAATTGTGCATTGATGTAAAAACAGCAAAAAAAAAAAGGAGAATCATGAGATTAAAGTTCCATTTTTATTTTCTAATTGGATTAGATGTCAAACAGGTAAGAAAATTATACGAGCATGAAGTAAAGAAAAAAAAAAAGAACCAGGAACGAAGTTTCAGGCTAAAGAAGAAAAAAGAATAGAAAGAATTCTAGTTTGTCATCAGACATATTATGATATTTCGTTGGAAAAAGAAAATAAATACTTGAAAAGTTTTTCGCGAATTATCTTAAATAATTTAACATAAATGTATTTCATACCTTTGAATAATAATAATTGTTGATATCGTTCACGTGACATGTATTTTGTCTCATTAATAGTCGCTAATATAACGACAATTCATTAGAGACAATAAAGAATCATATGTATATATATATGTCTTTGTTTAATAATCTCGAGTTTTTCATTAATATAATAAAACATCTCAAAAAAAATAATAAAATTATTATATAAAATAATTCAATGAATAGTTTTACGTAAGTTCTCAACTTTTCTCTCTCTCTTCTAACTTACTAATGAATGAATTGCGAAAAACAAAAAAGTCTGATTAAAAACAATGAATAATCATATTATAATAATAACAAGATGAAAACTAAATAGTACAACAGTAAGAATTAGGAAGCACACCGACAGCAGTATTTTTCTTCTTCTTTTTTTTTTTGATGCTCCATATTGTGCTTGCCGCCTCGACAAAGGCAACAATAGAAACGAGCGGATCTACATTCTCTTCTTTTCTGTCTGTAATTCACATCAAGCACACTCTCATACAAACACACACATCGGAGATTCTAGTGCTAGCTAGCCTAGTTCTGGTATATATATATATATATATGATCGGATAAAATAATGTGCTTCGTCATGATTGATGTTAAAACAAAGACATATCATTCGTAAACAAGAAAAAAAAAAGAGAACGACAATTGTCAATAGAACGTTCAAATCTATAGAGATACAAATTACAAAGGCAGTATACGCGTGCTCTTGCACACATTTACATTAATATAGAGTACAATTAGAAAATGAGAAAGAGGAAGAGAAAAAAAAAAGCTATATAGACTTCAAAAAAAATAAATAAAATCTCTCACAAAATAAACGGCCTAAGGTAATAACAAACAATGATAAGAATAATGTTTATTTTAGGCTCAAGGAGTACAGATCTTTTTATGGAGCAAGACAAATTTAGTTTTACTATCGGCTTTGCTTATCTCTCTCACGTTTCCTGTCTCGTGTTGTTCTAGTCTTTGATGCACATATTCCGTCAAAAATAATAATAATAACAACTAGTACCACTTTTTTCCATCTTTCTCATTCCTTCTTATATTATCATACGGCTCGATCATAAACTGATTTTGCGAATTAATCAATCATACATATGTATCTGTACAAAAGAATATTTCTATATGTCTAACACATAAAAAAAAGACAAGTTCTATATAAGATCGTTTCTGTCATATTAAAAATAGAAGTATGAATACATCATCTTCAATAGATAAAATATGCACGTCGTCATTTTTGTTATTATACATCAATTGTATGTGAAACGAGTCTAAGATACTAAAAAAGATTCCATATATAGAAAAGAAGCGATAACTCGATATACATAAATTACGTTAGAATAACAACAGAAAAGGTTCACATAGAAACAGATCGAGAAAGAGAGAGAGAGAGAAAGAAAAGAAATCTTCAATTACGACATTAGCACATAGCATTGACTGTTGAATGTAAATTCGCGCACACTCTTTCTCAAGACCACTTAATACAATCATTAATCAACGAACATCCGTGTTATTGACAAAGTCAAAGAGAGAAGCGGAGAAAAAAAATTGTAACAGATTGAGAGTTGTGGAAAGAAAAAAAAATGTTGTCAATAAAAGTATGTCTGACTGATTGATGAACGGAAACAACTGTCAACAAAGTGATACAAACTTAGTATGAACGATGACGAACAAAAAAACAAAAATCTATACTGTCTTAAGAAAAGAAATAAAGTGATGTTCAATATAAACTAAAAAATTTCATTATAAAATCCCTCGATTTATCTAACAATTTTTCTTTGTGCTTAATGACTTGTATTAAGAAAAGCGAACTCATAAATGCCGTAATGGTAGTATTACTTTCCGGCTCATCATTAATAAGGGAATAATAACCTTAACAACAAAAAAAAAAAAGAAAGATGTTGATTTTAACATGAAACATTTGCAATTCTTCGATCATACAGCTACATATTGAATGAATGACATTTTCTGCACAGGAGGACATAGAACAAAAAATTGACCTAATCGACTAGAAGAACTAGTCGTTTTACAAGATCATAAGATATTTTTTTTTGTTGTATAGTTATATCCTTGATCGTTTATATCGATTAGTTATTAATTGTATATGTCAATCAGTAGAAAAAAGAAAAAAACTTATTTTTTTTTCTTTGCCTATGGAAATCAAGGAAATCAATCATATAGATTTATAAGATATTCATCTTATCAATTGCATATTAAATAATCATCAAAATGAATCAAGTAATCAAAATTGTTATAGAATTATATATTTATTGATTACATATAATTTATATTCTTTTGACGATAAGTAAACTCTTCATATTAATCATCTTCATATTCATAAGCTATTAATTCATTTTGCTTGAATTATTTTTAATAAATTCCTTTATATTAACGAATAATTAATAAATAGATACTATCTATAGGATTTACTTTAGTGTGATAGACCATCATATAAACTATTAATATTGATAACGAAAGAAACCATAAGAAACATACATATAGAATCGAGCTAACCTTATTGATACAATTTTCAATCTAAGATTGTTTCTTAATGATTATTATTTTATCATATATAATTTTGTTTCCATGTTTCACAGATATTCATAGAAAATTATGATGAACTGATCTGTTTTATCAATAATAGAGAAATATTCAAAGTTTTTATTGATACAAAAATATTAAATATATAAATGGATAAGATATTGATTTTATCTTGAAAGCAGAACAAATTAAGAATTATTTTTTCTTGTTTTTCGGTCATTCTTTGATAGTAATACGGAAGAATGAGAAAGTAATAGCTAAAAACGAATTGTATCCTTTTCAGTATCTCTCATTAAGATATAAAACACCATTAGTTTTTTTTTTGTTGATTAATTATTAATATAAAATTAAATAAAAGAAGAATATTTAGTATAAATTCAACCGTCTTATCAAGATAAGATTAGATTTTTCTATAATTAGAAGCAAAAGAAAAAAAATTTAATCACCATATTGGATTTGATATGTTGATTTAATAAGAATTTCCTCTTCGAAACATTTTTTTAATCTCGTAAAGCCCACACATCTTTATTAAAATCATAATTTTCAAACGTTTGATTTATTAATAAAAACTTTGAATATTGTTTTCATCATAGATAAAAACATTAGCCTATTTGAATTAAACATTCGAGAGATATTGATATGTTTGTTTATCATAAAGATATTTATAAGACATTTTGTACATACAGATTTGTCTTTATATCAATTTATACATATCGTCAAAGATATATTAAGATTTTGTACAAAAATAAGTCAAATTATATAAAACATTAGTGTAATTTTCGTTACAATTATTCATTAGATTAAAACAAACATACAAACTTTTGAATATAATATTATTATCGATTTTATACATATGTATATTTATTAAAAAGGAAAAAGATGATTTAAACATAATTTTTATATATCAAATTAGTTAAATGATAATATTTACATGCAAATTTTATATTTTGCATGATTATGAAAACTTTTATCCTGTTGAGAATATACAGTAAAAACTGATTTCTTTAGATAAAAAAAAATCCCACAGGATAAAGATAATCACGTACGTATACACACCAGTAACTTAACTTATCCACATAAAATCAATTTATTTTTAATCTTCTTTTGCATCATATGTTTTCATATATATCAACAATTTCATGTAATTAAGAATCCTCAAATAATATTTTATGTATCAATGTAGACAATGAATTATTACAACATGAAAGTTAATCAATTAACCAAAAAGAAAAAAGAAAAAAGGATTTACAAGTTTAGAACTATATTTTATAGGATTTGATCTATTGAGGGAAAAAAAGACAAGTTTTTTTCTGTCTTTCTTCTTATAATTAATTTGACAATGACTTACTTCATGAATTTGACCACTTGCGTCATCACTTGTTGCACTTAACAAACTTGTTTGACTTTTTCGAAAATCATTTATTCGATCGAGATCGAGTGTTACAGTAGATAGTCTACTGTTCATATTTGTTGTTTCCATCGTCAATCTAAAAAAAAAAAAAAAAGAAAAAAATGACAGAAAACATCTATGAAAATTGACTTATGTCGTCTCGTATTTTTCTCTCCGTTTCTCTTTAGGTTTTTCTTTTCTTGTCATCATACCATCTAAAAAAAGGATTTCATACACAATTTGATGGTTATATAGATAATTTAATTTATTAAGAAAACTCGTACTCATCCAATCTATTTTCATCGTTTACCAGAACAAGAAACCACAATAGTAGTTTTTCGATTAGTTGACTCAATAAAGCATGCTTACGACAATAACATAAGCAATCATTTAGATGAGATTGTTGAACATAGAAGAAAAAAAAAAGAAATAGTATATATATATATGAAATGAATACAAAAACACGTTTAGTTTCACGGAACTACTTGATTAAGCTTATATAAATCTATCATTATATAAAAAAAGAAAAAGATTAATTAATTAATTTGAAATGTAAAAATATAATTTCATATTTATTCTAAACAATGAAAATAGATTTTCAATTGAAGAAGGACATACACACTCATATGGAATAGGTTATAATATATATATATATATATGTTCGATGTTTTTATTATTTTACGTGTTCTGTTAGTCATTAACAATCAAGATGACATTTTCAATATGCCACATAAATTCCATATGACGATAGCACTTGTCGGAGAAAAGAAGACGAGTATAAAGCATGAGAATTATCTATAGATATAGATCTGTTTTTGTTATTTAGACAAATCTTAGAAAATAAAAAGACCAAAGTAAATATTTACAGACATGTTTTGCCTATTTTTTTTTTCCGTTATTCCATATAATTTGTTTTCCTATTTTATTTAGTTAGAACCTATTTTTGGGAGTTAGATCGTAATAGTTTGCATGAATATTATGATGAAATATGTCAACTGTTTTCTTTTTCTCTCGTTTGATATATGTCCATGTGAATTAATATTGAGTTGATAACTTGCCTTATCCAATAGTACAGATTATACCTCATTAGGGACATGAGAGATTTCATAATTTCTTCTTTTTTTTTTATTAGTAATTAGACCTTTTTCCGTAATAGAAGAAACGTACAAAGTTTTCAAAGGGTGTCGGTCTTCTTTTGTGTCTCGTTTAATTTTCAAAATTTCTAATTAAAAAGATTTTTGGCAAACAAAAATGATTTTGAAAGTTTTAAAAACTCAAAATTCATCTTGATCTCAATTTTGTAAGATTTTTTAGGTTAAAAGTCTGAAAATTAGGACATGTTATGATGTAAATATACTAATCGGATACAATGATCGTCCTTCATTTGAAAAGTCACATATATCATTTTGTAGAATAACTTATACCACATTGAATGATATATAGGAAATTGCTTTTTCAGCATATATTTATGTTCTGAGAAGCCATATACTAGTTAATAGATATTATAGCACATGTGAATAATACGACTAAATATAGGGATTCAGTATGTCTCCAAACCAAGTCATATCAAATTTCGTTTAGAGTTACTTCAGTTGTATATATTTGATAATACTCATAAATAACTTTCTTTGCATCTAACATCTTAGCATTTTACTATTTTTTGGCTTTTATCATGTTTTAAATTGTTCAACACTACTCATAAATACTTTTGTTACTGAAAAAGTTTCTATCTATTTAACAGTCGACCATTACGCATGATTGGGAAAGTAACTTTTCGTCTCACGTTTTCATTGTGAACTTCAGTTGAAATAGTCCGTTACGATCTTCGAACATAAGCAAAAAAGACAGGGTGTTCGGAATGAAGTTCTCAATAGCAAAAGTCAACGAAAAAGCAGAATGTTCGGAGTGAAATTTGTCCAGGAGTTCATGACGAACTCCGACAACTCATTATTAGTGATTGAACAGCGAAGTTTTGACTGGAGATCGGAATGAGAAAGTTCAAAAGTTCGTAATGACAAAGACCGAATGGTTGTAACGACCGCTTCCGAATACTCTGTCACACCATTCCGATTTGTCTGCTTTTCTATTACGATCTCTCGTACAAAAATGTTTACGGACTTCCGTCATAGATCTTTAAGGACAAAAATTCATTTCCGGACACCCGGACACATGTTTGGAGTTTGAAATGACTTGAGACGAAAAGTAGGTCACCCTAATAAGGCTGTTAAAACTACTCATATCAAATATGGCTTGTCTTTTCATATTAACTAAAATTTTTCTCTTCTAATTGTATAATTTTTCTTTTTATTCTTTCTTATGCTTGTCAAAGAAAAAATGTTGATATTTAGTTTTTGATGTTGTAATAAAAACTACATTAGTAATGTATGTATATATAAATTAAGCACTAATTTAATTGGGAGATGAATTTGAAAAGGTCTTCCGGAAACAAATAAAAAACAGGAATCAAATTCGGAAAGAATTAAGGAGAACAGACGAATCACGAGTAGCCTATTTAACATATCATAAATGCTACAAATTACTTATAATTGACTATTTTAAAAACTAATGATAATTCTTCGTTTAAGTGTAGTTTATTTTTATTAGTATTTGCATTTAGAACAAAAAAAAGAATATTCTTATCTTTACTTATTTAAATTATGATAAGAATGTTAGTTCTAAAAGAGAGAGAGACAAAAAAAAACATTGAAATAACTACAAATCATATCGACACGTTATTTAATTTTAAAATGTTTGAAAGTTTTTAGTAATATTTTATTTATTGGCATTGCATTAGCATTATTTATATTAAATATAATTAAATATGCCAATAGTTATCTTAAACGAGAAAATTATAACATAACTAAAAATGTCAAAGGAGATTTTTATATTGTTAAAGAAAACTATCCAAATGTAACAACATGGAATTCGAATTGTACGTATAATTATACAAAATCAGATGCTGAAAATATTTTACAATGATTTATTGCATGAAAAACAAGTCAAAATCAAGTTTTTCATGTATTTTATTGGTTTATGATTACAATTTCATTTATTATATCAATTATTCCACCGAGTATATATGTAGGAAAATATTTGATATCAGATGATTATAATATTACCGAACGATATTGTTTAACAAGTATAATTCTTTTTATTCGAACATTTTTTAGTACAACAATTTTTATTTTTCCAAGTTTTTATATGTACACATTTGATTTTACTAATCGAATATGTTTAAATGGATATCCATCAAAATTTTCAATAGATATATTACTATTTATATTTGTTACATTTATTTGTTTAATTATTTATTCTCTATTTGATTTTATTTTAAATTCATTTTATGATAAACATAAATTTTGTTGTTCAATAGAATGTTTATCATATTGTGGTTTATGTATATTAATTTTATTAATTATTGGTATTATTCTCTTTTCATCAGCAATTATTGCCTATGTTTTTGTTGTTTTATTTATTCAAAAACCTCTTCAATTAGCAGCAATTCTTATTGTTGTTCAATTTCGTTTTTCTTATTGTACAATTTTTAGTTGATTGATTTATATAATTATTCAATAAAAATTAATAAGAATTAATTCGTTTTTTTGATGAATAAGATAATGAAAATTTTTATTTGAAAATAAAAGCTTTTAAGAATGATGAATTTATTTTTTCAAACTATTCAACCTATCTGATATAGAAAAAAAAAGGAGTGACTGTAAAAGCTACGGACACTCGACAGATATTCACGGTTACTTTGGTTTTTATTTATACAAGATGTTTTTACAAATAACTGTCAAGGTAACTATCATTATCTTTTAAAATTATAACTAAAGTAACCACGGGCATCTGCAGGTATTTCGGGAGTGCCTATGGATGAGCGCAGTTTTTATACGCACCCATGAAAAAGAGAATTTTTTACAAAAGAAGACCTAAAGGATAAAGTTAGATAAGAAACCTTAAAAGATTTATGTCAAAATTATTTCTAGACTTTTAACACCCTAAAAATCTCCACTTAAAGCTTTAAAATAATTTTGGTTGTTTTTTTTTTGCGAAATCTTTTGAATAAAAAATTATGAAAGTAAATAAGATACAATAGAAAACACGTCTGAAAAATTCATATGACTGGACATTATAGAAGACCTGAGGTCTTCTTTTGCATCGAGGAATTTATTTTATGATTGAATTGTCTTATATACTAGTCAATTAAAATATTAGCATTCTCCATAGTTCATCAACAATAAAATCATGAATACTATGTGGAATTTTGACTGGATATCTTTCACATGATTTGTTTATTCTTAAGTTTGGTATGGAGAAAAAAAATCTAAACACCGATGCTCCAACCGATGGCGATTACACATTTTTCAAGAAAACTTTTTAATGTTATCTTTTCAGATTTTCAAGGATATGTAAAATACACTGAAAGATAAACTTCAATGTGCACTTTTGCTACATTTGATTTAGGTCGGATAGACGATCAGTGATTGAATGATAATTAGTTGCAATTGTCAAAATTAATATTATCAAAGTAGTTTTATTAGTATTAGAAAAAAATAATTCAAATAGAAGTCAACAATGTAGCCGAATCATATATTCCAGAACAAAGGACATTAGATATGAGAGCAAATAATAGTTGCTTTAGAAAATTACAAGAATTCATACAAATTTTTCTTGTTTTAAAGATTTTATTTTCGATATTGCACAATGAATTTAACTTTCATCTTTTCATAGACTGTCGATAAATTGAAAAGATCAATGTCAACAGTCTATTATCGTTCATTAGCGAGATCATCTACTTATTCATTTCATGAGATGCATCTCGATTTTTTACATGTTGCACTCCTTCTCACATTATGCTGTCTGTATGATTGAATTACATATGCATAAATTTAGATGTATAGAAAATAAAAAAGTAAAATCCTGTTTCTGTCAAACATACGACAAAATATTGTCGTTCAAGAATGATTCGACTAATTATTATTATCTTACGTATGGCATACTAATAAGACTATCTGTAGAGGTATAATGAATGGAAATTTAAATCGAGATTTTTTCAGTCCCCGCTTAGGTTCTAGCAATTAGGGAGAGGGAGTCAAAGATTATCAGATAGGTTTTCATAACAATGGGGAGAGGCGGGAGGCTAACGATCACATTGCATATGTTTTCCTAGCAACGGAAAAAGAAGTGTAAGTAATAACAGTGCTTAGATCATTCTGGAAATTTCTAGAATCTTTCGAAGCATTCCTTAACAATGTATGCCAAAGCTCATCACCAAAAAGGATGGTGTGCTCGAAAGCTTACTGAACGATTAAACTAATATGTATAGCAGGCTAATATGGTAGCTGAGCTGGCGAAACAAAGAATAAAATAAGTTATATAATGAAGATGCATCTGGCAATACAAAGAAGTTTTTTTCAGTATAACGATGTTACATGAATCAAACAAGTTGGTAGAATAGGAATTCTAAATGCAAACATGTTCGAAATGATACACTGGAAATAATGCTGAAGTGTAGAGATAGAAATTAACCCCCTCCGCTTCTCCAGAGCCACAACAGATGTAACCATGAAGGCGTTATTAATATACGATCACAGTCCATATATTAATAATGTCTCGTTATAATAGATGAACTATTTCCTTATTGTATTTCTGGAGGATTAAGTAAGCGAATGGTGAAAAAATGTGTCCCATAGATAGAATAAAACAGTCTCTGTTAGAACTCGTCAGATTAATCCCGCGGCCGAGTCTGAAATTTTTCTGTTAATCGTATCCGAAAATTTTACACTCAATGAGCTCTAATCTTCGTGTGATTTGCAATAGTAGCTACATCGTGTTTCATATTTTAATCCTGCGGGAATTTTGCTAGCAGCTTTTTCATTATAACTCAGATTTACGAGATTTAAGATTATTTCTTTTATTTTTTATAATTTTATTAAACGTCAACTAATAGATCAATAAGTATAGAAAAGTCTGTTCTAATGTTAAATCCTCGATGTTTAGTAATATATATATATATTGATAGAAATTAATTTGATTTATATTTTTCAAAAAAATCTCGTATTGAATCAATTATTTGTTGTGTATGTTCAAGAAGTAACATATGAGTTGCACCAGGAATAATAGTTAATGATGAATTTTTATATAATTGATGATAACGATAAGCATTTTCAACAGGTATTAAAGTATCATTATCACCCCATATAATTAATATTGGTATATTTAATTTCGCAATAAATTCAATTGATTTTAATGAAGATTCAAAATTAAAATTTGTTAATGTTGAAAATAAAGAACGTAAATATCCAGGATGTTGTTGGCAACCCAATCGGAATAAATTTTTATATTCTTCATAATATTCTTTGTCAGGAAAAGCCCATTGTAAACGTTCTTTTTCATCATCATGATGTTTCATAACATATTTAAAAACTATTGGACCAATTATAGGTAATGATATCATAAACATACGAATTTTTGATGGTTTTACTAAATTAAGTCCAGCTGGACAACAAAGAATTAATTTTAATACTCGTGATGGATAAAGTTCTGTAAAACGTTGAATAATAGCACCGCCCATACTAACACCAAATAAATTATATTTTTCATATGAAAGATTTAATGCATATAAAAGTTCAGCTAATTGACAAACAAATATATCAATATTCATTGGTACATAAGGAGCATCAGACCAACCACGACCATACAAATCATATATTAAACATGGTTGATTATCTTTAACAAATGTTGGAAATATATATTGCCACATTTCCATTGGAGTTGAATAACCATGAACGAATATATTTAATGGTAATGATAATGACGATGACGATGATGGATGATATATATAATGAACAGTACCAAATGAAAGCTCAATAAATTGATCAGGTCCCATTTTAGTTATAGGTGTAGTAGAAGTTCGATCATATGAACGTGATAAACGACCACGTTGAAACGTAAGATAATCATGAAGTTTAAAAAGAATTATACAAATCAATATAATAAGAAATAATATGAGAAACAACATCTACAATTAATTTTATGGTTGCTGTTTTTTTCTCTATGAACAAATTTAAAAGAAGATTCTATCAATCGAAATAAAGTGAGAAGAATAATGTCATAAATCTGAGACTGACCTTCAGTTTTATGAGTCTTTAACACTCTGAAATAATTAGGTTTGTTGATTTTTAGCTATTATCAACCATAGATGATAACAACATGCAAATTAACAAAAGGCTGTTGTTACAACAGAAAATGATGAAAGATAAAAAGCATAGTCATCATAGGACATATATTGACAGTAGATAATAGTGATAAAGTTGAAGCTAAATCGTAAAAAGATAATACTAATGAAAAACAATTTTGAAAGAATTTATTGGATTTTATTCAATAGATTTAACATGATGACATGCAAATCAGATAAAATACTTTCAAGTTATTTTCATCAAACGCTACCGATAATTCTTTTAGCATAGTCTCTCGGAAAAGTTTCTTAAAACTTGTTTTATCGATTCGAGATTCAATCTTACTTAGGGTTGACTAAAAGTTCTAAGCTCTTTGTTTAAAGGACCTTGTCGGATAAGGTAATCTATTGAGAAATGAAAAACCAAATGTTCGATGTTGTAGAGCTTTTTGAGGTACGTCGAATGGTATATAATAAATCTTGTTTTCATAAGACTTTGAACGATCTAGAGTCAATTTACTGATAGACGACTACACATCCACACTGACAAGATGACCGGAGATGTTACGCATATGAGATTATAGCCCGTTAAAAACTCTACAAAATCATATGTGAGAAAAAATATCTTACAAATACTTTCGACTAATACCAAGTACCACAATATTCAGTAATCTGTCATACTTGGGTGTGAGTGTGTAGTTGCCTATCAGTAAATTGACTCTAGATCGTTCAAAGTCTTATGAAAACAGAATTTACTATGTATCACTTGACGGGCCTCAAGAAGCTCTACAACATGGTATATTTGGTTTTTTATTTCTCAATAAATTACCTAATCCGACAAAGTCCTTTAAACACTGGGCTTAGAAATTTTGGTCAACCTTAAGTAAATAACTGAAAATATTTATGAGCGAAGTTCGTCGACTGACACTCGCTATTTGAGCTCATACATTGAGGGTGAGTGTGAGTGTGAGGTGTAAGTTACACCTCACACCCACACTCAAGTAACTTCCTTTTGTATGTATATTTTGAGGACTGATGATAAGTCACTAATCGATCGTTCGATGAATATTTGTATCTATATATATATAGAGAGAGAGAGTGAAAAAAAAAGAAAGAGATAAACGTCTACTATATAAACCATGTTGTTGCTTTCTATTGTTTACATTTAAAAGATACAAAATGAATTACGAACAAGTAAGCTATCACGAAATAATAAAATTTGAATGAATTTTTTTTAATATAGCAATTAGATCAGTTGAATAAAATAATTAACATTTGCTACACGATACAAAGTACTGCATCTAGAAATGTTGTTGACGCATTATTACAAATAGGAACATTAACAAATTTTATCACGGGTTTGATAAACGAGGGTTCGCGTACTGATGCAATAGTTGACGCAGTGCTTCAACAAAGTTTAGCAAAACGGCAAGTACTTGAACATCAGATTGATAATATTTTCTCAGACTTATTGAAAATATCTAGACATTCTTTTCTTTTTATAGATCTACAAAAATCTTTACCAAGTACTACTTCGACGGTAAGGAATTTTTGTAGACTAAGATTTAGAAAAAAAACTAGATAAAATGATTTATCACGTGAACATTTCTTGTTTATTTATATAGTCAGCATCAACTGGTCAACGTCATCAAGCTGATATTATCATTTTAAAATGTAAAAAAGCGAACAATGTAGAATGATCTGGAGTAATTCGAATCACTTGATCAAAAAAATGAGTGTATTTTGGTCGTTTTTGCAACCATTTTATATAAGAAAAAAAAGATTTTTTTTATTATCAGATAGCTCCAAGTGTTCTCTATCCAGTCATGTAAAAACTTTTGAAAAAAGTCAATATTTTGAGTAAGTTTTTAAAAAACTACTGAAAGCCCTAAAAAAGTGATCCGAATTACCCCAACTGGGGTAATTGAGATTACTCCAGCATAAATGGCTAGGATCTCGCATCCCCATCTTCCTATTAACTAACGGTAACTCGTAATTAAATAAAAATTATATCATTCGATAGTCCAAAGTTTTTTCTATGGGACCTGAAAATATCTTCTCAATCCTTTGAATTATTGTAATACAGTTCTCAAAATAGTAAGAGCTACTGAGCCTTTTTTTTCTTTTAAAATTTGGACCACTCCAGCAAATTCTGCTGGAAAGAACTTTAAAAACCCTTAGAACTTTTCCAGTAGGTTTTCATGAGTTGGTACTGGAAGAAAAGTTGTTCGTCTCGCTTTACTCTATCTTTCTATATAAAATGAGAAAAAAAAATAAGTTTGTCTTTTCAAATTCAGCAATGTCTAAGCTACAAAATGAGATAAAAATCAACATGTTTATATATAGTATTAATGAATTACAAGACGATTAATGAAATGTACGATGTTTCAAGATAGTCAAAGTCCTTTTTTATTCAGTTTTAATTCGATCTTATAGTTCTCTCGCTATAGTCATTGTCAAGTAATGTCCAAAATTTCTTACAGTTACCATGGGAAAGACAGAATCATCTATTTGGTATTTAAAATATGCTACCGGATTTCTGGTATTATAATTGGTTTTGTTCGATATATAATAATTGATACATTTAAAATTTTTCTCTATATTGTCATTTGATTGTATTTTAGGTAAAAATGTATGTTGTTCAATTCATATTACTTTGTTTTCTTTTTCATTTTTGACGTTTTTTTTTGTTACAAACATCGGAAGAAGGAAGCGACATGTGTTGTTTGTTGTCTGCTTCCCTCTCTTTGTCTATATTAATGCATATATATGTTTGTTTTGTATATTGAACGTTAGTAGCATCTTCTCACAGCTCATTTGTATGCCATCAACATTTCAATTCTTGAAAAATAAATCTAATAAATGCCACATAAATATATTTAAAAAATGTAAGAAAATATAGTGATGCCGAATTGGAACAAGCTATGAAAGCAATTAAAAATGGTATCAGTATTCGTCAAACAGCAAAAAATTTTCATGTACCTTATACAATTCTATGTACACATACAGCTGACCATATCATATATGAGCGAATTGGTCGACCAACTAAGTTTACAGTTGTCGAAGAGTCTTACCCTGTACAAGCAGTTTTAGCTTTGCAAGTAAGTGAATCATTTCATCTCTTTTTCAGTAGAATTTATATTGATTCTTTTTATGAAGAAACGGGGAGAACCTGTATCAATCAATGAATTTCTAAATTTGACTACGCAATACGCATCCGCTCTTAATAAAGATAATTTGTTTCCAAGTGATATGTCAATATATGACTGGTTGCGATCCTTTTTATCTCGTCATTAGAATCTTGTACTCAAGGAACTCCACTCCAATTAAGAAAAGTCGAGCAAAAGTTACTGCTGGTCAAGTGAATGAATGGTTCAATTTGTTAACCAAAGTGGTTAATGGCAATGATGTGGCAAATCGTCCTGGTCAGATATTCAATGGCGATGAAACAGGTAAAAAACTTGATTTTTTTATGATCAGTTTCACCAAATTCCGACTATATTGTAGACTTTTCTGACACTAGTGGTTCTTCAAAAGTATTAGTACATCGTAGCACATTCAATACTTATAAAATTGAAGAAGGAACTGGACGAAAGTCATTTACTAGTGTTTTAATTTGTGTGTCTGCAACTGGACATATTTTAGCGCCATTTGTTGTCTATGGTTCAAAAAGACTGTTTCAAGAATGGTATATGGATGGTCCACTAAATACAGGTTTCAGTAATAGTGATAGGTGAATTTCTTTTTGTATTGGTGCAATTTTATGAACTTTATTTTAACTAGTGGACGGATGGAGAATAAAACTTTTTATGAATGGTTTCAAGAAATGTTCTTGGAAGCCACGAAACATTTACCTCGTCCTGTACTTCTTATACTTGGTGGATATAAAAGTCATTTCATGGTAGAAACACTTGAATTGGCTGTCAAAAACGAAGTGTGAGTAAACCAAATACATTGCTTCTCATGGTAAATATGATTTGATTTTTGTTCAACGTATTTTGCAATTCTTTCTTGTACATTCTAGGATTATCTTGTGTCTTCCTCCACATGCTACTCACTTACTTCAACCCTTAGATTGTGTTTTCTCTAATCCAGTAAAAGTACAATGGAAAAAGTAAGCTTTTTTTCCCATTCTCAATGTTTAACTGAATACTTTCTAGAATCTTGAAAAATGAATATCAACGTACACGTAATAAGATCGTTGGCAAATCTCCTTTTCGTGCACTTCTATCACAATTATGGAAAACAGATGCAATTACAGAAAAAATTAATATTGTCAAATCTTTCATGAAAACTAGGATTTTTCCATTAAACGCGGCATCCATTAATCGATCAAAAATTTTACAAGATGTGACAACATGTGTAAATGTCAATATTTCTTTACCAACTGATGCTGTTACATGCTTTAACAATAAGATGAACAAATTCAATGATGTCTCTGCTTCTGATGTATCTACTGCGTCCAACAACAACAACAATCATACCGATGTGACTGATCCATCAATCAATATTTCAAATACTACTGTTACCGCCATCTCATCTTTTGATTCTTCTGTTCAAGCAATATCGGTCCTAGATCAAGTACTGGACAAGACAGTCTTACGTCATGACGACGAACATGAGGATTACCTTCCGAACCGTTCAACTGGTACTTCAGCCGGCACAATAACATTGTCATCTAACCAACAATCTTGTTTGCAGTGAAGATCCACATCTCAAGGTGAACAGCCAATCATATCACGACGAAGTTATCGAAAGAGAGTTTCTTGAATATTATATGTGAATTAAATCTTTGTATTTTTTCTCTTGTCCTATAGAGTCCATTTCACTTCCTATGATACACGTCTAATTATTCATGGTTATCCGGCAGTATGAAAACGATTCTTCTTTGTTGATAAAAACGAGTGACAGTCCAAACAATAAATATCAAGTCAATAGTCATTCCAAAAGTAGTCGCTCTATAATATAAAACATGCAGATGTACAGTAATAAATTACCTTCGAAAACAAGATTTACCAACGTCGGAAAAAACAAAGTTCGAATTCAATGATGAGGCCCTTGAGAGCAAGGTCAAAACATATCATAGTTTGCTTGACACCTTCGAATTTCTGCAATTCAGTTGAATTTTTAAAATCTTTAAATTGAATTGAATGTAGATTGATTAAACTCTATCTAATAACATTTCTAATTAGCCAAAAACACATTATCGTAGTTCTTATTCATCTGCACCCTACTTCACCTTTAATGATTCATAATTTCTGATGCGTAATATTTTTATGTTGATCATATTTATACTTTTCTTGGCAATGTTTTTTTTCTTTTTGTATGTGTTACAAATACAATCGCAAAAACTATCTCGTAGTTGTATAAGAATAAGTTTATCATGGGTAATAACGTTGATAAAGAATTGAAACATAAAGGAATGCATCGTCATCAAAGTAAACCAAGTTCATTTTATTTTGCATGCCGTAATGGTGATTTAGAAACTGTTCAATTAATGTTACCGACTATTTCTTATAAAGATTTAAATCGATTAGAACCAAATGGTAGTACTCCACTTCATGCAGCTTCATTCTATGGTCATACAGAAATTGTTCGTCTTTTATTACATGAACGTGGTTGTGATCGTTCACAACGAAATCGTTATGGCTTAACGGCTTATGAAGACGCAAAAACAGATGAAATTCGACAATTATTTCATCGACCATTAAATATAAATCGATTTTGTGTTAATAATGAACAAGAAAATATTAATAATCAACAAACATTTTCTATTGTTTCTTCTCTTACAGAACAAACAAAAGATGATAATAATGATGATGATGATAACGATGAACCAATACCTTCGAAATGGGTTAAACTTTACCAAACAGATGATGAAATCTATAAAGAAATTCATTATCTTGGTAAAGGTAAACGTTTACTTCAATCGAAATTGGGACGATTTCTTACTAGTAAAGGTGCAAAATATCAAGGTGATAAAGAACTTAATGATATTGAAAATCTAATTGGTTATTTAACTGATCAATCATATCGTATTAATAAAATTCGTAAAATTCTTGATACTATAGTAACAAAAGAACATAGTCAATATGATAGATGTTGTGATCTATTATCAAAGTATTCTCATGATGGAAATGTTGAATCATTATTAAGACTTTATTCACTTGAAACACCATTTTATCATGCATTAAGTAATGATATAGGTCCATTAAAATGGCCATTATTTTTAAATCTTTCAACATTAAAACATCGATATTTTCAAGGTCAATGTTATCGTGGTATAATAATGACAAATGATGATTTACGATCATATCATTCAGCATTTAATAATAAAGGAAGTTTTATACGAACAAATACATTTTCATCAACATCAACTAATCGTCAAGTAGCAGAAAGTTTTACAGAATTATCATTATCATCAACAAATAAAATAAGTATTTTAATGCATTATCATTTTCCGCAACCATGTGATCAAGCAATTAATTTAGGATCTATTAATAAATTTCATTTACCATGTGTATCAGAATATGAAGATGAATCAGAAGTTTTAATATTACCACGAACATTATTTATTGTTAAAAGTATTTATGAAGTTACTACGACTAATGAAGAACAACAACAACAAGAAAAACGATATACTATAATTCATTTAGAAAATGTATTACATGCAAAAAAATCATTATTAAGTTCATTAAAATTTCTTGTATCAAAAACTGAACAAACTGAAATGTCACTTTATTATAATTCTATAACACAAGCAGAAGAAGGAAATACTAGTAATAAAATGTTAAATAGTTAATTTTGTTGCATTAATGAAATTATGAAATGTTTGTGAATTACAATTAAATATTATTTTATTTTCATCATAAACCATTTTTTGACTGATATTGTTTAATCATTTGTAAATAGTTTAGTATTACACAATAAAAGAGTGCAGATTATTTCCTCGATCGTTGTATATATATATATGTATAGCTACTTGATGTTTGTTTTTGTCTGTGTTTTTTATCTGTTCTTCTTCAATGTCGTCTTTTGTTAATATATCGGTTCGTCTATTTTTCTCTGTTCATTTTGGGACATTTTTTTGTATTTATACCTTTTAATAAAGAAAAAAATTATTCTAGATTTTTCTTATTCATTTTGTTGTAGAAATTCTGTATTTTACTTAATAAACTATTCATTTGTTTTGTTTGATAACTGTTAGTAAGCAAAAAAATAAAGTGATTTTATGATAGTTTCTATTAAACATATTTTATATCGTTCACTAGTAAAATTCATCATGTTGATTTATTTGATCTCATGATTGTAATAGAAGACATAACAGATCTTCTTGAAAGTATTAAAGTTTGTTGATATTATTGGATTCATTCAACATTGATGCAAAATACTTCAAGCATCTCCATAGCACTCAAGTTTTTTACCCTATAAAAAGTGGGATGCAAATTCTCGCTTACAAAAAATGTAGTCTGAAATTTTTCTTTTTATAATTAAAAACTTCTATATTACAGTGTTCTACTACAAATATTGGTAAACTAGCTGAGCTAAAAAGAATAATGTGATAATCTCAGTAAGTACAAATATGATTTGTTAGATACCGTAAAATGCAATGAGCTGCTGGCTGGAATATAAATGGGACTAAGTAACTGGAATTGCTCAGTCGTAATTGCATAAGAATAGATCGAACAACATCTATCGAAAGAATGTCGTGGTGTACCAATTCCATTAAAAACTAAGGAACTAAGTCAGGAGCAACAAATTCAATTCATCTAATCTCATTGTATCATTATCAGAGAAAATAATTGAAATAGAGTGTTCAAATGAAATAAGACAAGAATTTTTTGTAGATCAGACGAAGATAAACGAAGAATGGTTCGAATGTTAAAATAATCAAAAATATGATGGAGAATTTCGTCAAGTAAAGTCAGAATGTGCTTTGTTGTAATACCAAAGAAGATCAACGATTTTGATATATCACTAATTCTTTGCCATTAACAAACAGGAGCAGCTTTGAGTGATGATATAAATTTATTTTCATTTATCAGTTCATACGTTGTTTGACCTTCGATTACCTTGCAGGTTCGCAAAAAAAAACGTGTCATATGAAGTATTACTCATTCGATAGAGAAATACTGTCTCTTCCTCTTCTGTCTATGCGCAATTCAGGTAAAAGAAAAGAAAAAACTTTTTATGGACGTGACACAGTGTTGATAAAATCTTTTTTTTTCTATTCTGTTCTTTCATGGCGAAAAAAAACCAGGTTTCTACTCTTTATACAACCTAGAAACCTTAAAAATTAAAAAAAAATTTCATTTAAAAAGTTAATTTCGAAATTTTCATGTCTATACTTGTTTCAGAAATATTAAAATCACTTCATTAGTTTCTTTTTCTTTTTCTGCACCGTTTTCATGTCATTATTTTGATTACTCCGCCAAACTAAAATCTTCGCATTAGTTACGTAGGTAAATTTAGCCACCAATTCGCTCAAGGTATGTTTCAGATCTCCTTCTTCGTGTTTCCAGTAGAGTTCGATATGTTCTATCTATTAACATCATAATGCACATTTATTTAATATTAATGATCGTTTATTATCTCTCTTATGAAATGCATCAAATAGATGATTTAAAATTAAGCTTCGATCGTTTAAATTCAACGAAGAGTATTGCTAAAATTTATTTTGATCAATGAGAAAAAATATATGAGACGAAAAATGAAATAAATCAAAGTTTTGCATTAACCAATACAAACATCAACCCATAATTTTCAAGTAAAATTAGTTATCGCTTACATGAGTACCTCTTTCATTATGAAAATATATATTTATCTATCGAATAAAACATTATTTCTCATATGCTAGGTGAAATCTTTATAGGATTCATTAGCTATATTAAAAAAATCTTTTAGTTTTATGCATATCAATTCTCCTCAAGTATGTCATTTTATTAAGATAAATATTTGCAATAATTCCGTAGAATTATGAGCTTGATTTGTATAAAGTTGCAAATCGAAGTTCGATTTTCGACGTAACAAAAGTGAATTCATTGCTTTCAATTTAAAGGATGAATAAGGGATTTGATATGTTAAAAAGCAAAAATTTTCGATAATGAAACTCTTCGAAACATTGCTCCTGTTCAATACAACCTATTGTCCGAGTATATTCTACATGAGAGAGAGAGCAATCAAACTCTTCGAAAAGTTTACTCATCTGATCGAAACAAACCGATTTTTCAGATTATGTTCGACTTGAATATTTAGCAGTCGCATTTTCATGCATTTACACATTGTAATATATCAACAAAGAAAATCAATCGTATTGTAATTTGATTGAAATGAAATGATCAAGAATTGAAAACAAATTTTTTTTCATCGTTTCACATCAAACAATAGAAATATTCGTCAATCTAGTTCAATTGCCAATTATGCATGTACTCGTAATATATGTATCTTATTTATTATTTAGCATAGTTTTCATGAGGACCAACAGTCGCCAGGTGTATGGATCGATGTGAGTGTTCTTTTTACTAACTAACGAGGGAACATTCCAAGATGTTGCGCTTCGATTTCGTTCGTTTATACATCATCCAATAGGAGATTTTGAGTAGATAAAAAGGCTAGGATTTCGACCGAGGGTTTTTCTTTCGAGAGTTCCGATCAATTTTCTGATCTTTTCAGATAAAAGTAGCATAAAAAGAAAATTTCATTAATCCCTCCCCCAGGAAACTCATAGAGAACTGGAATTCCTTTTTGTAGTAGTCTTAAGAGTTTTCTATATACCATAAAAGTCTCACACTTCTATTGCTCTCTCTTTCTGAGTTATAGAACCGTTCTATCAAAAAAGAGAATCTTGTCAGGTTTTTTTAAAAAGTGGTGAGAGGTTTTATTCCATAATTTTTCTTCTGCTAAACAGAAGGTCCTATAAGTTAGGAAGAGAGAGAGCAATAGAAGTGTGAAACTTTCAGAGTAAATAGGGAACCCTTAAGACTACTACAAAAAAAGAATTTTAGCTCCATATGAGTTGCCTGGATAGAGTTATGAATTTTTCTTTTTATGGTAGTTTTCCCTGGAAAAATCCGGAAAGTGGGCGTTAACTTCCGAAAAAAAAGCCGTCAGTCGGAATTCTTTTAGGCTTTTTACCTACTCGACGTTCCCTATCGAATGATGTATAAATGAACAAAATCGGAGCGCGACACCTGGGAATGTTCACTCGTCAGGGTGGGTTTACGTCGATGTTGATATGCATCTCTGTATCCACATTCTTAATCGAAAATAACTATTTGAAAGCATCAAGATATCGATTGATTCCAATTTGCATCTAAGAGATAAGCAGGTATGAAGGACTGAAGATATGGGTCTGATATTATTTTGCATGACGTTAGATAAAGAAAGAAGAAAAGAACGTGTTACCTTTTTGCTTTCTTTCATGAGAAAGAATATTTATCTTGAGAAAATGAGACACAATAATAAAAAATATTGTAAAGCATTTGCTTTATCAAGTACACAGAGAACACGTGTTTTAGTGCAATCAACATTTTAAATGTTAGTTATAAATAAAAAAAAAAGGAGAAAACGATGCATAAGTAAAAATCGATAAATTTATATTTTTTAGAATTTCGTACTAGTTAATAGATTTTATCATGACACCTATTTATCTTATTATAATTTTGATTATAATAAGTTCAATAGTATATCTTTATAAACCTATACGTAAATTAATTCAACAAAAAACTATTTATTCATCATGTTTCAAAACACCGAAATCTGATTATATTCCTATATTTGGTCATTTGTTTTCGTTAGCTGGTCAGATTTCAAAACGAGGTAACTCTATCAAATAAATATTATTATTTGAATTCAATCTTTTTTCTAGAACATTATCAATATTTTTTGAAGTATTGCCGAGAATATTCAAATGAACCGATCATTTGTATTTGGTTTTTCTTATGGCCATTTCTTGTATTCCGTCGAGTCGACTATTTAGAGGTTCGTATTGATCTTTCAGCTGTTGTTAACGATTAGAAGAAAATTCATTTTCTGACTAACGTGCCATTTTCAATCTAATATACATATACCAGTTTGCAGAGTTTAATAAGAATAGAAGAAGCCTAAAATGATTCATCTACTGTACGCTATTTTTCTCGAGTTACAATCATTCCACTGAATTATCGATTACTAGCACGACATATAGGAAAAAATTGAATTCTGAAATTTCGCTTTACATGTTTTTGTATAAATAGATCTCATTATCTATAGCAAGTTCTAAAAATTTCAATCCTACAGAAAATGATTTGTTCTTGAGATATCAAATGTTAAAGAAACTTGATTTTCTGAATATGTCTTGTAATGTGTGATTTGTTTTTCGATATTTAATATTTAGAGAGCAAAGCTTTCTTTTGGACTGAACTTTTAGAGCTTTTTGTTGAGAATGAGCGTTCTCTATGAAAATAATCTTTAGACCTAAACTATATGTAATTCAGTTTTTTCATATAGATCTTGTCAGAGCTTGAAAAATTCAGTAAAGCAATTTAAACTCGAGAAGAACTGAATATAGGGCGCGGAAAGATGAACTATGTTAGGTTTTCTTTAGTCTTTAGAAGTTCTAGAAATTGATAAATATCAATACGAACATCGCTCAAACAATCTGATGAAGTTTTTCATACTATTTATTTCTTTAGATTTTTCTGGCGGCTGGTTCAAAGCATTTAACTAAATCACCAGATTATACATTGCTCGATGATTGGTTGAAAACGGGATTGCTAATTACGTAGGTTTTTTTTTTTATAAAAGTATAAATACGGAAACAAAATTTTGCTTCAATGTACAATAAAAGATAATTCTCAATGTGATTTTGTTTTCAGTTCAGGTAAAAAATGGAAAACACGTCGACGAATTATTACTCCATCATTTCATAATAGCAGTCTTTTAGCTAATTGTATTGATATATTTAATGAACAATTAAACATTGGTTTAAAACATTTTCAGACATTAGCTAATCAACAAGTAGAAACTGATTTATATCCATTGATTTCAGCTTGGACACTTGATGTCATTTGTGGTGAGACGTTTTTTAATCATAATATTCTCTATGAATGATAATCATCATCTTTTAACTATAGAGACAGCAATGGGTAAAACAGTTCGAGCACAAACTGAGGAATCTGAATATGTAAAAGCCGTTGTTCGGTATGATTTTATTTATGTAATTGGTGATTTATTTGTTTGAATTAAGAATTACGGAGCTTATAGCTTTACGAATGCGTTCACCATGGTTATGGCCTCGAACAATATTTAAACTTTCTGCTCAAGGTCGTGAACATGATCGCCTTCTGAAAATCATACATAAATTTACTCGACAAGTAAGGAATTCTAACGAATGAAGCTAAATATTTTGCGTCGTATATGTATCACACGAGTTAATGCTTAAAAGTTTGATACTGCGGGTTTCAATTCCAGATGAATGCAATATTCAGATATTATTCTTAGTGAATATCATTTACCTAATAAATAGATTATCACATTGAATATGATTTGATTTTATTGACAATGCTGAAGTTCGAAATTTTTAATTGATTTCATTACAAAGCTTTAGCATATGAGAATATTCAGTCAGTTATATTTCAAATTATTTTCTTAAACAGAAAGAGATAGCTACGTAGTGCCTTTAAAATTCTACGAAATCGATTTCAAACCGTTATATTTGTAAAACTTTTCGTTATAATACATCAGCGAAAGAGTGCGCCTATGACGATAGAGAAACTTTCGAAAAGTTTTCAATGTATTACCTTGTACAAGTAAAATAAGGTAAAATCTCTGTTTCAGTATATACAGTTGTCATAATTTAGAAAAATTTCTTTTTTTTTTAGGTAATCGAAGATCGTATTGCTAACTTTTCGTCGATTGATGTTCGACATCGAATGGCATTTCTTGATACACTTATTGCAAAAATGAATGATGAACAAATATCAATTGATGACGTACAAGAAGAAGTCGATACATTTATGTTTGCAGTAAATTTTAATACATATTCTTCGATTATGATTTGAACGAATTTTAGGGTCATGATACAACGGCAACTGCAATTAATTTTGCTTTATTTATGATTGCACTTCATCAAGATATTCAACAACATTTATTCGAAGAAATTCAAAGCATATTTCGTAAATCTTTCGATGAAATTTTGTGTTACATATTATTTGATATATTCAGAAAATGATAATGAACGTGCATGTACACTTGATGATGTTCAACAAATGAATTATCTTGAATGTGTTATTAAAGAAACATTAAGACTTCTACCATCTGTTCCTATGATTGGACGAGAAATTCAAGAAACATTTCAATATGGTCTACTTTTCTTTAAATAATTTCTTTTTCAATCATTCTCTATTTTTAGATGGTAAAACATTTTTGAAAGGTACAACAGTTGTAATCTTTATCTATGAAATTCATCGTGATCCACAACATTTTCCTGAACCAGAAAAATTTGATCCTGATCGATTTTTACCTGAACTAACTCAACAACGACATCCTTACGCATACATTCCATTTTCTGCTGGTTCACGAAATTGTATTGGTATGTTGAGAAATTCGAAAAAATCATATTTATATTGACTTTATTCTTGTTATGAAAGGTCAACGTTTTGCTTTGCTTGAAGAAAAAGTATTTCTTTCAACAATAATTCGTCGATTTCATCTAACAACAAGTCAAACTTATAATGATTTTGTACCAACTGAACAAATAATTCTTCGTTCTGATAATGCACTCAAAGTCAAACTTATATCACGTGCATAAGTCTATATATATAAATTGATGATTTAGTTTTATGGATTTATACTTAGTATAGGTGGTAATATACTAGAAAAAAAATCATTGATCGAAAATAAAAGATTTTTATTCTTGAAAATAGCATGTTGATTTATTTTACGAGGATCATAAATATGATAGGATTTACAGAGTATACATGAACAATTAATATTTTATCATTTAGCACTTTTAAAAAAATGATCAATAAGAGTGTGAATCTCTTCCTTTGACTATTATTATCAGCAACATCCAATTTTCGAAATTTTCATCGTCGTGATTCTCATTGTCAAGATTTTCAATCTGAAAGAATATCACATGCATTCATACCCTCTACTCAAGTATGATCTCTCGAGACGTGATCGAGTTTCAATAATTATTAACTATTCAAATTCTTGGAGTTATTGAAATGATTAAAACTATTGGTATTACTGAATTCTGACAGGATTTGCCTAAGTGTAAGACTTTAAAGAGAGTATAGTCTTCACGTTCCTCCACTACGCATCAACCATACACTCATCCTAACTACCGTACGCACTCTCGTCCTCAAATGAAAGAATATGTCAAATGGCTAGAGATACTCGAGATGGCATGGTGCCAACAGAGTCAAACAAAGTTATTGATCGTAATATAACGACTGACGATACATATAACCGTAGTTACAACTTAAAGCCATAGAAACAATTGAAGATTCGTTACTTTGCAAAACGATTTACGTCCATCTAAAAATCAACATGTCGTATTTAGTCCGAGTGCAAATATGAGTGTATCTGCGTGATAGGTTTGTATGTGTTGAAACTTTATCTGATGATCCTTACGAACACATATTTTGAAAGAAAGTTGATATAGATGGAATCAACAAGAATAAATATTTTTTGTTTGTCCTAATTATCATATAAATGAAGCATGTAAATTATCGATAAGGATTCTATTGAAGAAATCGAGAACGATGCTTTTTGGTTATAGTATTGCTATTCTTGTCGTGGGATTCTGCACCTATCCATTAACTGAATCACGTGAACTGTGGCCAGTTCTTCCATCATGGGTCAGTAAAGGGAATCGAAGGTAGTATATGAACTGCTAAGTATTATTTTTAACTTGATACACATCTCATTCATAGATTACCACAGTACGACGAGAATAAACTGTAGTCAATTCACCGATGATTATGACATTCTTATCGACTTTCCATTCCCAATTATTATCAATCCGATGGTATGGACTAATCCAATGCCAACTTACGCTCTAATGGATGGCAATAGTACATTTGTGCAGTCTCTAAGACTCTCCCAAGAGATTCATGTACCACTTAGTGTCTTTTGCCTGAAAAATCTTGAAACGTTGGTTATCTTCAAAACGCCTTTTCTGAACGGTGAGGTGGCATTTATTGGAAAAATAGCAATTGTAATTGTTTATAATGAACTGAGATATTTCTAAATTTAGATGAGGTTCCCGATGCCTTTAGCAAGCTGAAAAAGCTCTCTACACTCGATATTCGTGATACTTGCATTGCCCAAATGACAGATCAGTTGGGCAAGCTCTTTTTGCTAAATTCATTGTATTTGCCTAATTGTTCGCTTGCTGACTTGCCGAATCTCGAAGATATTCCCAATCTATACAATGTTGATTTCAGCAACAATCCTCTGTCTCGAATTTCTGGATTCCATAATGTTTTTTATCTAGTTTTGGATAGTTGCTGTTTTACTGAACTTCCTACTCTCACAGATCCAGAACGTCTGGGAAAACTTTCTATGAGCAATAACATATTGAAACATGTGACGAAAATTGGCTCTTTCATCAATTTAAGATCCCTTGATTTAAACAATTCCAGTTTGTCATGGATTCCTCCCGCTATTGGCCAACTACGGAAACTCGGTCGCTTATCTTTAAATCACAATAAGCTTTTTTATCTTCCGTCCGACATTCTCAAGCTTGCCAATCTCATCTATCTTGACATTGCCAATAATTCGTTTTCAAATGCCCAACTCGAAGCAATTCATAATCAGTTTCAACAATTACGACCGAATACTACAGTGGTCATGTAAAAAATCATTTATCTTCTATTCACTTTGAATAAACACTTATACAGCAGGGTTCAGACTTCTGAAAAAGGAAATTTCAGAAGTTTCGGAGATGTCAAGCATTTGTGTTCTGAATTTTACATTACTTCTTAAAATAATGTAATTTCCGAAATTTCTGAAATTTTCACAATTATGCACTTACAGAAATTTCTGAAACGACAGGGAATTACTAAAATTTCCAATATGTCTAAAAACTTTTGATTTGCACTGCTATATAGTTATTTAGCTGATGGAAATTTCAGAAATTTGGGTAATTTCCTTCTTTGGAAATCTGAACATACCTCTGTCCGTGAGGGTGTGGGTGGCATGGATGTGAGACTGGGCGTAGATCTTCTCTTCAACACACCGACATCCACATAGCTCACTGAGCTCTACAAGGCGCACCTATTCTTGGCTCGAAAGCGATCCGACAGCTGGATAGGTTTCCTCGTTAGTAAACTTGTCATTTTATAATAAAAATATGAAAGTAAATGAGATAAATTGTGAATATAATTCTATGTATGATTGCATTTCTTCAAAAGGTATATTATCGTTCTCAACATTACTAACATAAAGAATGGCTTCCTTTTACAAGTGTTGTTTGCAAGATGAAAATATGTGATTTACCGCACATGAGCTTGAGAGAAAAATGAAGAGATCATATAATTTTACAGACATCTTGTTATTTCTTTTTGAAAATGCTTTCATCGAGCCAAGCAACGAATAAGAAATTTTTTTTGCGAGTCCCTGATTATTTTCAGAAACAAAAGCTACGAGATCACGATGAGTCGTTTCTATTCACTACAGCGTGCTATTCTTTCAACAAAAGGGTCAGCGTATCCGTTGAATGATTGCTAGATGTTTTATAAAACACTTTGTTAAGTATTTACAATCATATATAATTTTATTTAGTTTTTCAATAAAAACTATGTTTAAATATGTAAAAAAGAAAAAAGTGATAATATTTATCTAAGTTTTCCAAGTGCTAATTGATAATAATGACCATGAAGAGCAAGTAACTCTTGATGAGTTCCACTTTCAACTATGTCTCCATTATGTAAAACACAAATCATATCTGCATTTTGAATTGTTGATAAACGATGTGCTATTGTAATTGATGTTCGATTTTTTTTAGCATGATCTAATGCTTGTTGAACTATCTTTTCATTTTCACTATCCAATGCACTTGTTGCTAAATAAATATATACATTATACAATAATAATCATCTTATTTTTTTTTACCTTCATCAAACAACAATATCTTTGGCTTTCGAATTAATGCTCGAGCAATTGCTAAAAATTAAAACAAACTAGTTTTACTCATTCAAATCTCTTTTCAATCTTGGATCTTACCAATTCGTTGTTTTTCGCCACCTGATAATTGAGTTCCTTTTGTACCACAATTAGTTTCATATCCCTAAAAAAGATGAGTTTTTATTCTCTAGAAAATATCTCATCTTATGACTTTACTTGTGGAAGTTTTTGAATAAAATCATGTATATTAGCATTTTTAGCTGCTTCAATGATTTCTTCCATGGAAATATCATTTCGACTATTGTTACCGTAAGCAATATTTTCTCTTATTGACATATCAAATAAAACAGGTTCTTGTGAAACAATACCAACTAAAAGATATTTATTTTGCATATAAAAACAAAAAAAAAGAAAGGTAATATATATTACATACTTTGTGATCGATACCATTGTAGGTTAAGATTTCGAATATCTTTGGAATCAATTAACTACAAAAGAAAAAGAAAAAGAAAAATGATGAGTAGATATGTGAGAGAAATTAGCTGACCAATTGACCAATATTTGCGTCGTAGAAACGTTCAATTAACTGAATTACTGTTGACTTTCCAGAACCAGATGTACCTACATAGATAAATAAATATATTGAAATCAAATATATTGTAAGGAAAAAAAAAAGACGACGATATTTACCAACGAGTGCAACTTGTTGACCTATGAAAACAAAAAATTGATATAAATGAATGAATGAAAAAATAAATACCAGCTTGAATTTTGAGTTTGAAATTTCTCAAAATGATTGATTCCGGTCTGTTTGGATAGATGAAATGGACACCATTAAATTCTAACTGTCCATTAAAATTAGGCTAAAACAAAAAGAATAGAAAAAAATTAATTTTATTAACATTTGTTGATATGAACTAACTATTTCATCCCCATCACGTGAACTATTATCCATAATTGGTTTTCGATTCAAAAATTCAAAAATTTTTTCAGCAGCATTAACAGCCTTGGTGTAATCCGGAGACCTAACAAAGTCAAACAACAAGATAATAATTTTTTATCTAATCATTTCGAACATTTACATTGATACTGTTTGTCCAACACTTTGCGCACCAAATAAAATACAACCAAGACATCTAGAATAAAATCAAGTTACCATATTTTTTTAAATATTTCTTCTTACGATAAAATATCTTGAAATGAGACTGTATTTTTAATCAATAAATAAGCACCTAATCTAAATAATGCTGCCAACATAAAGTATAAAACTGAATTTGCTAATGCATAGGATAAGCCAAAGACATATGCTCGTTTTATAGATGATCTAAATATAATACAAATACAATATGATAAATTCTCGATTAAATTTACAAACAAAATACAATACCGATAAGGAATTTCAAGAAATAAACAATATTTTTTGTAAAAATAATCTTCTTTGGTTAATTGTATAACTGTTCGTATATTTTGTATAGATTCTACTGTTATCTAAAGAACATATAAAATTAAAATGAATAAAATATTATTATTTAAAAGACTTTTGTACTTTTCCAACATCTTCAAATATTTTTTTATTCCTACTGGCAAAGCCAGTTGCTAAATATCTTTCTAAAAAACTTCCAACAACCAAAAATGGAATAAAACCAAGAACAAGCAATGTCAATTGCCAAGAAAACATAAAAGCAAGTATAATGCCAACACCGAGTGAAGCGAAATTTTTTAACATTAGTCCAATACGAATACCAGTCGCACCTTGTACAGCAGATGCTTCAGTTGCTAAACGTGTACACAATGCTCCTGTATTATTATTTGGATCGTCAAAATAAGCAATTTCTTGACGTAGAATTGCATGAAATGTTTTAGAACGTAATCTTTTCGTTAGAGCTTCACTCGAACAAGCAAATAAAAAAATCTAAATAATACAAAAATACAATAAAATCAAAGAATAAATATATTTGGTATCATTCTAATATAAGAACGTACTTGAAGAAACGTCGTAGTTAATATTACAATACCAAAACCAATAAACAAAAGTGTACAGAATTGAACAACGTTTTCTTGAACTTCTTTATCGCACTCTTGAAAAATCTTTTCAATAGAATCAATATTTTAATATAAAAATTAGAACAGTGTGGAAAAAAAATCTACCGAAACTAGCTTGCTTAGAAAAATAGCCAATGCTGGCTGGACACCACCATTGCATAGACATGCGACACATCCAATAGTTATTAATTTCCATTCTGATCTGTTCATTTTCAAGATTTGTAAAGAAGTATTGGGTTTTTTTACCTAATTAATTTATATTAATTAAAATAACATAAATTTTCAATTTTACTTTTTTCTTTTTTATTTCAATATCTTCTTCTATATTTGCATCGTCACCTGTTGTTGAATTATTTACTTTACCATATAGAGTATTTATAATTGATAATGGTGAACTAGCAATGATGGACCTATGTTCTCTTGTGAAACTCGATTGAATTTCTTCAGTTTGATGAACTCCAATTGATCCGATACTTTCTTGCTTCTCAAAAATTGTTAACTGTTCTTTTTCTTCAGCTTTACGTAAATTTTGTTGTTCAACAAGAGTAAAATAAGTTCCACGAGCGCGCATCAATAATTCATGATCACCTTCTTCAACCACTTCACCGTTTTGTATTACAATGATTTTATTAGCATTACGAATTGTCGATAGACGATGTGCAATTACTAATGTTGTACGACCTAATAAAAATAAACACTATCAGTATGAAAATATTGCAATTGAACTTCTAATATACCTTCAGCAGCACGATCTAAAGCATCTTGAACAATTTTTTCACTTTTATTATCAAGTGCACTAGTTGCTATTATATAGTAATAACAAAAAGAATACAATTATGAAAAGAAAAACAAATGAGTGTTTACCTTCATCAAGTAGTAAAATCTTTGGATTTCGAATTAATGCTCGAGCAATGGCTACCAAGAATTTCATAAAGAAAAACAAGACATGATCAACATGTTCATACATATTCTTATTATACACTTACCAATTCTTTGTTTTTCTCCACCTGAGAGTGTCGCTCCACGTTCACCTACTTGAGTATCATATTTCTAAAAATACATGCACAAACAATAGAATGGATGCAATATTAAAAAGATCATAAATATGATTAATATATTACTCACATCAGGTAAAGCCATGATAAAATTATGTGCATTAGCTATTTTCGCTGCTTTTTCAATTTCATCATTAGTTGCATCATCTTTTCCAAATAAAATATTTTCTCGAATAGTTGTTTGAAATAAAACTGGTTCTTGACTAACAACACCAATATGTTGTCTTAACCACTTCACATTATATTCAGCGATTTGATGATCATCAATAATGATTGAACCTGAATCAAAATCATAGAATCGTTGTAATAATTGTACACATGTTGATTTTCCTGAACCAGATGATCCAACAAGAGCAATTGTTTGACCACGTTTAACATCAAATGAAATACCATTGAGAATTTTAACGTCCGGCCGTGATGGATAAGAAAAGTGAACATTAGAAAAATAAATATCACCAATAAGATCATCTTTTTTCAGATCAGTTTCGGAATCACTATTAATCTTAGATGGCTATAAAATAAATGAATTAGAAATAAATATGTTTTTATTTACGTGAAACTTAATTGTCAACCTACTGCATCAATAATTTTCCACACGATGTAAGCAGCAGCTCGTGCTTGATTGAATGCTTCAAAATGCACACCGACTCGGAGCAAATTGAAAGTAGCATTAACAATCAAAAAGAAAACCTACAAATAATAATTATTGATGAAAATACAACGGTCAAATCGACAGTAAAAGTTATTTTCTTTAGAAATATCTAAACGCCATTTGTCTTACAAGGAAGTATATCTAACTATTAATCGCTGATCAAAGCGATATTTTGCTCATAAGTAGGACTTCCTGAGATTAGAAAAAGTCTGAAAGGATTTCTACACAGAGTTGGAATCAATCTGGTTATCTGCTTCCGATCCGACCGGACTGGACCG